CCCCCCCCAAGCTGGCTTTAAATAGCCTCTTTTCCACTCTGCCCCACCCCATTCCAACACTCCCTTAAACTAGACTTCTCAATACGACTGATAGCACTCCATAGTTACTATAATTATTGTCTTTTTTTCCTTAAGAATTAGAGTAGCATTTTTCCTCGTTTGCCTTCAGTCTCACAGGGCTATTTTCAAATTCTCTGCATTCTTTTCCTTATAAGGAATATCTCTCCTTGATCTATCAGCGGCTCTTTTGAAAAAAGAGAAATAGAGGTCCTGCTGAGGAATTTGGGGGAGACAGGCACCCTCCGTTCAGCCATAGCCATCAGACATCTGACTGACATGACATAAAGCAGGCATAGAATCGGGCCTGTTTTGTAGTTCTTACTAAGCCAGGTAGTTTACAACTTAAAAGTTTTTGCTAAAGCAGTGTTCCTGCCCACCCCCACCCCCCGCAATTTCCCAGGAATCTGGATTCCAGGAAACTGAACACACATTTCTTATCAGATTCCCGATGTCTTCTAGCTGCATTTCTTTCTCCTTTACAAAAGGCACACTCCGAAATCACACTTCAAACCTTTCAGGCCATCAACAACCTTTACTGATGAAGAGAACCCAGACCCTCTGGTCATTTACATTTTCCTCTCCTTCATACCAAAAAAGAAGAACTCTGCCCTTGCACTTAGTAGATCGACTTCTGATCATAGCTTTTCTCTGACGCTCATAAATTCTTGGAATTGTTCCCAACTTCCCAAGGAATGCTTTCCTAATTGAGCCTCTGGGCTTAATTGGCTTCTAGCATAGAAGCCAGTAACGGTGTGAAACGAAGTCCAACGTTTGGTTTTTCCAAGGCTTGCCTTGGTTTTAATTGGTGGAAAAGGCAAGCACGGGACAAAGTGCTGGCCAGGACTTGGGCCGGGTGTGCATCACCCCTGAAACTATGTAGTGGCTGTCAGAGGGCTGACAGGTGGGGGTGGGGCCAGCGGGAGGGGCAGGGGGTAGCTAGCTCACTATACCATATAAAGCACTGAGCTATATATAACTCCCTGCTTACTTTCTGGATCTAGTGCCCAGACTGCAGACCCAAGCAAGTATCATCTTCTCAGGCAGATCTTACCAGGGGGATTAAGGCTTCCTTAGTGAGACAGAGGAACCCTGGTGGGGCAGTTGGTTAAGCACTTGACTACTAGCCAAAAGGCCAGAGATTTGAACCCGCCAGCTGCTCTGCGGGGTGCAAGAATTGCTAGTTTGGCTTCCATAAAGGTGACAGCCTTGGAAACCCTATGGGGTAGTTCTACTCGGTCCTACGGGGTCGACATGAGCCAGAATGGACTGAATGGTGACAGATTTGGAGTTGGGGGCTTAGTGAGCTGCGAGGTCTCACGTCTGCGCTCCACCATCAAGCTCAGCCCCTTCAGTAATCGTACTACCAGGTATTGCGTCCAGTTAAAGACCAGGCCGTCTGGACCCTGTTGAGACCCACCACCCCAAACCAGGCCTTCCTACCCCACCAGAGGTGGCAAAAGTGAGGGAAACCAGGCACTCTCTGTTTGCACAAACCTTGGTAATGACACCTCGGGGGTTTTCTGCCCTCAGGGAGGCAAGGTGCACCTCCAGCGTCCAATTTTAGCTCCTCTATTCTCCCAGCTTCTTTGCCCATCCCCCCACCCCCACCCCCCCAACCCCAAGTGGGGAAAGAAGAGGGAGGAAAAGAGACAGGAACGGATGAAATATAAACAGATGTGTGCAGTAGCTAGCATTGGCATCCATGCTCTGGGCCATGGCAGGGATGGGTGCAGGTGTCCAGGCGGAGGAGGTGACCCTCCTCCGTTGCTCAGTGGCCCTGGTGGCCACCAGGGCAGGCGGCGAGGGCAGCAGTGTGCGCGCGCACTTACATCGGTGGCCTTTTTCTCTGCCAGCTCCAGCTTCTCCTGGGCATCTTTGAGAGCCTCGGAGTACTTGTCCAGCTCATCTTCCGTGCCCTTGAGTTTCTTTTGCAGCGACACCAGCTCATCTTCCAGCTGGGAGTTGGCCGTGGGGGAGGTGGAGGGGGGAGGGGGGTGCAGCAGGCAGCGTGATCCCGCGAGGGAGGGGTGTGGGTGCACAGAACCAGAAGGACAGGGACAGCGGAGAGAGAAAGGGAGAGGCAGGGGAGGGGTGGGGGGAGAGAGAGAGAGAGACAGAGTTAGCCACTTGTGCGCCCAGGCGTCGCGCGTCCCAGGTACCTTGGTGGCGGTCTCGTCGGCAGCCAGGAGGCTGTCCTCCGCAGAGTGCAGCTCCTCAAGCACCCGGTCCCGCTCGTCCTCCGACGCCCGCAGCAGCTTCTCCTTCGCTGCGATGTCCTCCTCCAGCTGGGCAGCGGCGGC